TTTTTTTTGGTGCTGTTATATATATATATTTTATATCTATTAAGTATTTAATTATAATAAAACTACCAGCTGTGTCAGCCTATTTATGGTGGCTATTTTTCAAGAGTTGGTGATTTTTGGAGGCAACCGTCACAACTTTGGGAGCAGCCTCTGAAACTGCCTGCTGTCTCTCAGAATGCCGCCTTTCCCCTTAACCTTGGCTAGGACTCCAGTGGGATTTAAGGGACCTGGGTCGCTCCCATTACCCAGCCAGCTGGGCCACTCTAGGAGCCCCTTCATTTGGAATGTGGAAGTAGATCTTTGATCATGTTGTGCTAGCTACTATGATGAGTAGATTTCTTTTTGTATTCCTGATTCCCTGCCTTATTAATATGTTTTGTTCTCTCCATTTTTTTCTTTTAGACAGAAAATATGTTGTGGGATTATCTATAAAGGCCGTTTTGGGGAAGTCCTCATTGACACGCATCTATTCAAGCCTTGCTGCAGCAACAAGAAAGCGGCCGCTGAGAAGCCGGAGGAGCAGGGGCCGGAGCCTCTGCCCATCTCCACTCAGGAGTGGTGACTGAGGTTTATGTAGAAGGGGAACAAAAAAACAATTTAAAGTTTAGAAAAAAACACACCACACCACAGCAACAAAATGACCCTCCTATTTTTAACCTGGATACCTGCTATTCTGCCAAAAGACAATTTCTAGAATAGTTCTGAATGGGTTATTTTCCCTTCACTTCCACACAAGCTCTGAAGCCAGTGTCTAGCGTACTAAGAGAAAAAAAGACGTGTACATACTATTTAAGAGGCTGAGTATTTCATAGGAAAGCTGAATGCTGCTGTAAAGTGCTCTTTAAGTCTTTTTCTTTTACATCCCCTTCTGATGAATGAAACTAGGGGAATTTCAGGGGACAGAGATGGGATTTGTTGTATGATAAACGTAAGTAGTTCTTAGTCTTTCTATATTGAGAAGCAGTGGTTGGGGCATTTTTAAAGATGGCTGACTACACTCGTTTCCTTCATGGTGATAAATCTGTCATAAATCAGCAACCTGGACTTGCCCCTCGAGGTAGTTGTTAATACTTTTGAAATAGTAAGGTCTTGCCAAGGTTCTGATGATTCAAACCTGTACTACTGAATATTAAGCAGGACAGAATAGGCCCTCGGGTGCAAATACCTTGAAAGGAGTACTCTCTAAATATGCAGAGAGGGAACTGGGCTGTATATGTTGTATCCCGTGTCACCTCCCTCACATTGATATTTGATGAAGATTTTAATTTGTGTAAAACTTCTAAAGCAGAATCAAAGCTCCTCGTGGGGAAACGGCAAGTCTTCAGGATAAGCAATCTTCTATGAATAGTACCAAAGCTTTATCAAATGGTAGAGAACACACTCTATTAAAAATGTTAAATTATCTGAAAAATAAAGTGCGCAAGCCCTCAGGATGGCGTAAAAATAGCAAAGGTTAGTGCTTCTTGGGGCACATTTCTCAGAGGGCTTGCCGAGTGTGTAAATAATTGACTTTTGTTTGTGTTCCACGACTGGTGACTTCATTGAAAATCTACACAATTCAGTTTTAGCTCTGGATTACTTCAGTTGACCTTTGTGAAGGTTTTATCTGTGTAGAGTGGTTGTTCAACTTGTTTTAACCTTTCACGGTTTTGGGTATTTTTTTCTTCACTATATTAAAGTAAAATTCTAATAAAAGAGGTGTGTTAACGCAGAGTGGGCTGGTTTTGGTTTGGCATCATTTAGTCAGGCTTTCTGAACATTGAGATGTTAGATGATAAATTCTGAACGCGGGACCCTTCAGTTCTAAAATCTTTATGAAAAGCCTGTTACTTGAACCGGAACCGAAGTACTCTCATTGCCTCTTTTCTACAAGTTCAGGAAGAATGTTGCCAGTTCACACTTTTCATAACGAGGGAGGATCATTTGCCTACCTTATAATGAAATGACAGTGCTTATTTTTAAAGCCGGATTTTAAAAATTGGATAGTATGAATAACAGTAAGGAGTGAGCCACTTTTTATGGGCACCCTGTAGTTTTATAGTTCTTAATCTAAAGTTAAAGTTTTATATTCTTTTGGAAGAAACTACAAGCCACCAAATGTACAGGCTACACAGTGGGTTGGGGCGGCTCTCCCACCGCCTTTAAGGTGTATCGCAAATCTCGGCCATTCTCATCTGCCTCCTGAGTTATTTTGAAATGGTTCCCTTTTTTTTTGTACATTTTGGCTACAGTATTGGTGGTAGAATATACTATAATATGGATCATCTCTACTTCTGTATTTATTTATTTATTACTAGCCCTCAACCACAGTCTTCTTTTCCCCTTCCACCTCTCTCTGCCTGTAGGATGTACTGTATGTAGTCATGCACTTTGTATTAATATATTAGAAATCTACAAATCTGTTTTGTACTTTTTATACTGTTGGATACTTATAATCAAAACTTTTACTAGGTTATTGAATAAATTTAGTCTTATTAGAAAATAAAAGAAGCTGTTTTGTGGCTTTGTTCAAAAGGTGTTCTTAGTTAAGTCACGTTTGTGGCCTTTACAGATCTCAGTCTAAGCCCTTAGTATAACAAACCATGAAGGGAAAAAAATCTGCTTTACTGAGAAATAAAGACTTTAAAACACATGTTAACTGATGTACACAATTATTAACCTAGTGGATAAAATTATTTTAACAATGAAGAAGAAAATGTTTCCAGTGGTGTTTTGCTTTTGTTAAAGTCTAGTTGGTGTATAATATTACATTAGTTCCATGTGTACGGCATAGTGACCTGGCATTTTTTTACCTTACCATGTGATCACCCCACTAATTCTAGTAATCATTGATCACCGTGCAAACTTGCCACTGTGTTGACTCTATTACCCTTCACCTTTTTCACCCATCTCCCCACCCTCTCCCCTTTGGTTACCATCCCTTTGGTCTATTTCTGAGTCAATTTTTGTTTTGTTTATTTTTTTAGATTCCACATATAAGTAAAACCATATGGTATTTATCTTTCTCTGACTTAACCTCACTTAGCATAATACCCTCTAGATCCATCCACGTGGTTGCAAATGGCAAGATTTCACCCTTTTTTATTGCTGCGTGATATGCCTCACCTTCATCCACCCATTGTTTTAATGTTTTTGATGTGACTGTATTGTCTTTGGGCATCACGGGAAGCATCATTGAGACTAAAGAAACTATAAAATTGGTCATAGGGAAAGGTGGATTTGGGCATTGGGGTCAGACCTGGGTTTTCTAGGTCCTGGCTCTGTCCCTTATTAGCCATTTGAATCACAGAATTAGAGGAATTCAGGTAGGTGCGACCCATATCAGTTTTGAAAATGGATTATTACCTGGGAAAAGTAGATCCTGTGGGCCAAACTTTTTATACTACTGTTAGGGTTTAAATTTGCTTTAGGATAGTCAGGTGATTTTGCCAGCTCTTGATTTAGTTACTATGAAGTTACCAGGTTAACCTAGGATAGTGGAAAGATGACTACCTATATTATCTATTGCTGTGTAATAAATTACCACAAATTTAGTGGATTGAAGGAAATTGATCTCAGTTTCTGCCTAGGCACAGTGCAGCTGGGTCCTTTTCTTAGGGTCTCACAAGGCTGCAACATGGTGCGAGCTGGGTAGCATTCTCATCAGGTGACTTGGGAATCATCCGCTTCCACAACAATTCATTTTCTGTGGCTTCAAGGTGGAGAGTCCAGACTTCTTACTGGTTGGAGGCCCCCTCTGTTCCTTGCCACCTGCCATCTCCCAACATGGCCATCTTCTGCATCCAGCTAGCTGGTCTCCAGAGCTAGTCTGCTAGGGAGACTGTCATCTCAGGTACAGACCACATGCGAGTGGAGAGAATTACACAGTGAACACAGAGGTGGGTGTAGGTATCAAGGGACTCCTTAGGGTTTTGTCAGCCACAGCACCTCCTTTTTTTCCTAACTAAATCACTTGAAATTGGACCGCTTGCCCTATAATATAAACGCTTTGTAAAAAGAGAATCCTCATTGTCAAACACCTACCATGGGCCAGGCAAGTTTAAGCATTGTTTAAACAACTTGCAAAGTAAAAACAAAACTGTTCCCAGGCCAGTGGAAGTGCAAGGGGGTGGTGGTGTCATGTGACTTAAATAAAATCAGCTTTCCTGATTCCAAGGCCTTTGCTCTCCAAACTGTCCCAGCTATAGCAGTGGTGGGTGCTGTCTTACTCTGCACTTGGGAGTCGGTTACTTGGGTCTCTTCTGAAAACTGAGAAAGTGGGGCAAGTTTTATTTTACCCTGGCAGGGAAGTTGACCTTTACTCTGTCTAAATCACTTAATCAAAGCTTGTTTCTTAGTTTTGATGTTGAAAGTACATATTCTGTACTGTCTGTTTCTGGAGGAAGTAGTCCCCAGGAGGTTTAGTGAGACAACTGGGCAGTCTAAAAATAAATGGAGGTAGCCAGAACCAACTGCTTTCTCTGTAGTGAGAAATGGAAGATGCCCTAGAGCCTCTGGATTCAGTGTCCCTAGAATAGCCTCCTAATGCCTCAGATTTAGCTTTGTGCCCTGGCAATCATTCCTGCGTGATGTTCAATGAACTGGGAAGGCAGGAGAAAGCCAAACTGAATCAAAGATAATTTCACAGGCTCATGTTCTCAAAGAAAGGAAAGGATCTGAGAGTTCTAACAATTTCTCCAGTGGTGGAGTTTGGTTACTCATTGTGATCATGAGAATGCTTTAGGTTTCAAATATCTTGCACCCTGGTTGGAAACTGCTTATTGTGTGTAGTGTAGGGGGTTCTTGGACATACTTAGTTGCGGGCTTCAGTGTGAAAGAGCTTAATCTTTCCGCTTAGAGACAAAAGATTTTGGCAAAGCCTGCCCTTTGTTTCAGTGTCTGAAAGGTGGGGGAGAGGGTGTAATGTACTGTTTTAGAATTTACATATTCCACACTTTTGTAACTTACATTAGCTTTAACCTGCCCAAGTATTGGATTTTTGTAACTGCAAGGAAGAGTGGTGGTTTTATGTTTATACTTTTAAAAATTAGGGGCTCAAGCCCTGGCCAGTGTGGCTCAGTTGTGCATTGTCCTGCACATCAAAGGGTTGCTGGTTCGATTCCCAGTCAGGGCATAAGCCAGAGTTGTGGGCTGGATCCCCTGAGGAGAGAATTTAAAAAAATAAAGGTTAAAAAATCCAAAGATTCTGTAGCAAGTTACTGGTGGAGTTAAAATAGGAACCTGAACTTTTTTTTTTCTTTAAAAAAAATTTTTTTTTAATATATCTTTATTGATTTCAGAGAGAGGAAAGGAGAGGGAGAGAGAGACAGAAACATCAATGATGAGAGTCATTGATCAAGCCCACAACCCGGGCATGTGCCCTGACCGGGAATCGAACCCCGATTGCCTGGATCCCAGGTCGATGCTCAACTGCTGAGCCACGCCCGGCCGGGCCCCCAAACCTTTAAGTCTCAGTGTTTAAAGGAGAAACTGTTCACTATAAAATTATCGGCCTTTGGCAGCCCGTGAATCCCAGGAGCGGGAACTTGGAGAGAGGGCATGAAGCTGCGCCAGGTATAATTAAGCCACACAGAAGGGTGCTGAGATCCAGGGAGTGGCCAGCGCAGGCTGTCAGGATGACCTCTGAAGGGCGAGTCTGGCTGTGCTGTAACGGTACCATGAAGCCAATTCATAAAACCTGCTGAAATAGCACAACGTACCTCTTAGCTTCAAGGCCCAAAACCGCGGTGAGTTACAGCCGGCCAGCCTCGCCTCCTGGGTCAACTCTGAGGGGGCACCATTCACACTGTGGCAGGAATGCTGCCCCTTCTTCCGCCTGTTAGGCTGGCTCCACAGACAGTGCCCCTGGGGCGCACAATCTCGGGGGTGTTGGCTCTAGTAGCTGAAACTCTGCTTCTTAAACTCTCCGAGAGACAGATTTCAGGTCTCTGTAACATTTTCTTTTCCCAATAAGCCAGTGATGAGGGATGCAGCAGGAATATCTGGCTGTTTAGACAGCCTCCTGGGGATGCCAATTGTTAAAAGGAAGAAATCTGTTACAGTTAAACATAATTTTCATTTTTTTCTGAAGAACTAAAACCATTTCATATATTCCCAGTAAACTGAATTACTGAGGAGGCTGCCGTATAGAAGTGTCAGAAGAACTAATCCCTTTGCTTCTATTTAACTATCAACTTTTCCATCCTGGGTACGTAGCTCCCCTTGATACACACATTACTACATGAACGTCCACGAGGGGGAGCTTCTCGCACATGATACTCTGCGGAAGTTAGGAGCATCCAGCTTAGCACCCTCGTTTTACCTGCCTAGTTGTGGAGCTAAAACTGAAGCTAATCCATTGCTTTATCCACAGTCAGCTGCATAGTTGTTTTTGCTTAAATATAAGCCTGAGAAACATTTAAACTGTTTGGAGAACCTGTTTCTATTTCCTTTTCACCAAGATAATTTTAATCTTTCATGAGAGCTAAAAGCCAACCCTTAACCGCTTTCCCCAGTTAATTTTAAATGATCACAAAACAGAAAGAGAGTGCTTGTGTGCTCCTCCAAATGCCCTCATCCCAGAAGACCGCCATTTGGATAAACACTATTGTGGGGCTCAGTTCTCGGGTATCACAGATGCTGTGGCCATAGTCCTGAAGGTTGGGGACAGCCTGGATGTCTGTCCGCTGTATTTGTGGAGATCAAGTTGATGCCATACAATCAAGGCCAGAGGTCGCCAAGCCCTCAGGAGAGCCCCTGATTGACCTGGTTGTGACCGTGGCCTGTTGCTGCTGTTGGTACAGCTGCGGTTTCCCAAGCAGTGAGCGAGGCTGGTCCACTGAGGAATACAAAGTAGAAACCAGAACTACATCTGTTTATTTTTTCTCATTATTTTTTCTATTAAAAAAAAAAATCAGAAAAAATCAGGTATAATCATCGTATAATGTTGTATTAGTTTTAGGTGTGTAACAATAATTCGATATCAGCATATGTTGCGAAATGATCACAATAAGTCTAGTTAACATTCGTCACCGTACATAGTTACAAAAGATATTTTTTTCTGGCGATGAGAACTTTTGAGATCTATTTTTCTTTTCTTTTTCATGTTTTAGAATACTAGCACAGCGCTACACGTGCATGATATATTTTAAAAATTCGGTGTAGACACTCATTTTTTACTGATTGGAGTTTTGCACCGCTCTGGGTATTGCGTGACAATAAGAAGTTCACTTAAAAAATATCTGAAGATCACTGGAGGCCATAGATGATGGGGGCTGGCAGCGGGGGCTCTTTGTTTGCAAGAGATAATTTTGGTGAAATATTAGAGAAAGTGCGCCTACGGACCTCTCCTAGACGTGAGGGGACAGCGGATGCCAGTTGCCAGAGCCGTCTTCTATTACGTGCTTATCGAGCGGCCGCTTCCTCTCCCACAGTGTCGTGTTCCCTGTCCGCCTTTCAGGCCGGGCCTCCTCCCTCGGGAGTCGAGTGATTGAGCTGCCTTGTCATTC